GCTTCCAGGTGGATACACCAGTGGGTGACCCTGTCAGTGTTAGGTTCTTGGTGGAATGGTGCTGCTTCTGTGTCAAAACATGTGGTGTCCACTGCCGTCTGGGAGTTGGCACAGGCTGAGTGAGGTCGAGGGCGTGAGCCGTCCAGGCTGAGGCTTCTGGGGGTGCTCAGCACTCCTGCTGCATTGGAGGGGCTGTGGTTTCTGCTCATGTGGTTTCTGTGGCTTTGATTTTCCTGGATAATTCTCATAATTTCTGGTACACTGAAGGCTGCCTTTGACTTCTAGATCTTTTATTTCTCCCACTTTTTCTTTTTAGTAGGGATATAGTGATGTGCTCTACCTTGAGCTAGCTGCATGCTCAGCCTTGCTACTATATTATTGTTACTTTAAATTTTTTATTTGCTGTTTTTAAATACTTGTGAATAGTATGTTACAGCTGACACTTGTGGGTTACCTTTATTCATGATAAATTTTTAATGCTTTAATGTACTCAGTTAAAATAGGACATTGTGAAACCTTTCCTTCCTGTCTGCCTTTAACCTGACATCCTTTTTAGCAATTCCCAGTGTGTTTGGTTTATAGTTTTCGATGGTCTTTAAAAAAATTATTTTAAACAATGCCACAATAAACAACCTACTCACATTCATTTTTGTGTACTTTTGCACCTCGTTATGAATTGAATTCCAAAAAGATTGTTGAGTTAAATGGACATGTTAAATTATTGTAAATAGTTTCTGCCTTGGATTTGTGGGGTCCAAGAATTAGCATTTGTCTGTTATCTTCCAAAGTAAAATCTTACATTAAATATTTGGTAATGAGCTTTGGTTTTTCATTTTTCATATGAAAAATATCTCTGAGGATCTTGAAAATGCTGAAATGTTGAAATTGCTGAAATGATCAGAACCTTTCACATGGAGTTGTGCTTCTCCAAATTCATGTATATGTTCAGTATGGTTACAAATAAGGTCTCATTAAGATTTTTTGTATAAATCAGTAACTGATTCTGAAATTTATATGGACCAGCAAATTAAACTACTTATTTTTTTTTTAATTTTATTTATGTGTGTGTGTGTGTGTGTGTGTGTGTAGCCAGCTCAGCCCACCAGGGGGCGGGGCTGGCTGGCATGTGGTGTTGGGGGACCGAACCGTTGTCCCTGTGCTCTGCGAAGTTTGTTCTAAGTAGGTGCTTTAGACCACTGAGCCATCTCACCAGCCCCAAAGAATCTCATACTTTTTTTTTTTTTTGGCGGAACTGGGGATTGAACTCAGACCTTTGTACTTGCCAGACAAGCACTTATTCTACTAAGCCATCTCCCCAGCCCTAAACTACTTATTTTTGACTTACTACATAAATACAGTGGGGCTGGAGAGATGGCTCAGTGGTCTAAAGCACCTACTTGGAGCAAGCTTGGCAAAGCACAGGGACCGTGGTTCGATCCCCCAGTGCCACATGCCAGCCAGCCCCGCCCCCTGGTGGGCTGAGCTGGCCACACACACACACACACACACACACACTAAATGTTTAAAAAAATAAATAAATAAATACAGTAATCAAGATATGGTATTGGTAAAATGAATAGACTTCTAGGTCAATGGAAAAGAATAAAATATAGAAAGCCCAGAAATAGACTTGTATGTAATATGGTCAGTTGATTTTCCACAGAGTTGCACATTTGCTCAGCAATTCAATAGAAGAATAGCCTTTTAAACAAAGCATGCTGAACAATAGGGATCTGTGTATACAAATCTAGACCCACATATTATCCCACAAACAAAATTTAACCCCAAATGTATCATAGACCCCAGTATGAAACCTAAATATGAAAACTATAAAACTTTTTAAAGGAAAAACATGGACAAATCCTGTGACCTTGGGTTATACAAGAATTTCTTCAACACATGAAAAGATCTTTGAAAAAATGATGGGTTAGACTTCATCAAACTTTGAAATTTGTGCTCTTTGAATTTTTTTTTTCTTTGAATTTTAAAAAAAAATTATTTATTTGGTACAGGGTCTTGCTCTGTGGCTTGGACTCATAGTGATCCTCCTATCTTATACTCCCCACCACTGGGATGACAGCTGTGCGCCACCACACCCAGTTTTGGTGGATGGCATGGTACATCCAGGGTTCTAGGGCTGGCATGGCATGCGGTACCAGGGATCGAACTCTGGACCTTGTGCTTGCCAGGCAGGTGCTTAGACTGCCGAGCTATCTCCTCAGCCCCCAAATTTCTGCTGTTTGAAAGATGTTGTCAAGAAAATCAGCCAGGTGTAGTGACACATGTCTATAATTTAGTACTCACACTGAGGCAGGCAATTTTACCATGACGTCAAGGCCACCCTGCACATAGTGAGACCTTGCCCCCTCCCCCCAAAAAAGTAAACAGAAACTCTCAAGTACAATACATTAAAGACAGTATTTACTTAACTTGATGATGAATGTAAGCTGGTGGTTCAGCAACCTGTGTAGCAAATATAAGGCCCTGAGTTCAATTTTTAGTACCACAAAAGAAAAAAAGCACCTAAAAAAAGATAATATTTACAAAACTGACCTGATAAAAGACTCATTTTAAGTATATAAAAAGCCCCAGAATTCACTAGTAAAATAATCATTTTAAAAATAGTTTTAAAAACATGGTCATCCAGGGGCCGGGGAGATGGCTCAGTGGAATAAGCGCTTCCCTGGCAAGCACAAGGGTCTGAGTTCAATCCCCGGTTCCGCAAAAACAAACAAACATGGTCATCCATTTCACCAAGGTAAAGGAGCACCAAACACACAGGTGATGTTTGACATCCTTAGTTCATTGAGAATGAAACATCAGTGTGGTGTGTCAGCACGCTTACAGAAGCACAGCTGTGTCAGAACTGCTAGTGTCTTCCATGTAAGCCTCCTCTCCAGGGCCTACACTCCCTGTTCAGTTGCTTATATTGTGAAGAATTATAAAGTTTATTAGTAAAACAGTATTAAGAGTGGTAAGGAGTAGTGTACACCTGTTATCCCAGCGCCCTGGCAGGCTGAGATGGGATGATTCGCAGATCCAGCCCAGCCTGGACAATTTAGCAGCTTAGTGAGACTCTTCATCAAAATGGCAAAGAGGTGGGGATGTAGGTCACTGTGAAGGCCCTGGGTTCAGTCCTGAGTACCAAAATATGAAACAAGACTAGTTGGATCTGGTTTTTTATTTTTCTATTTGTTAAATTAGCAATTATTCTTTGTGATTGTTGCAGGTACTCCGACCTCTAAACCAACAATGCTGGCTAATGGTGACCATGAAATACAAGGGAATGATACTACAGGTAAGTGGTCTCCAAGATTCCCTGGGTGTGTGAGTGACATGTACACAAGACACACCTGGCACGCTCCTTTGAAGAGGATTGCGGGTGAAAGCATATGAATTATTTTTGAGGGTATTAGTTTTGTTGGATGTGAGAACATGTGCTATATAAAATCTCAAATGCTGGAAAGACAGGATGGAATTTCCTGCGATGTCCCTCCTGTAAGTACTTGTTGGAGCTGTAGCAGTCCTGATTGGATCTGCCTTAGAAGCACTCTTACATGTGCAGGTGCTCACCGTCGTCACACGGCGTGTGGGCGGCCTTTGGCCTCTCCAGCTCTTTGAGGCAGGTCTCTTCCCTGAATGCAGGCTGTACTTAGCTTTCTGAGCCCCAATATTAGGAGATCTGTGAGGAATAAATTACAAGTGCTTTCTTTTGTCCTCAGTCTTTTTTTCCCATGTCCTTCCCCTAACTCTTTTAGCTTTGTCTCTAACCCCGTGGCACTAGTAAAGTTTTGGTGTTCTCAGCTCCCACTGAGCTTCCAGGTGTGCCATGGCCAGCCTGAACCCTTGCCCTAGTGTTTTTATGGTGAGCAGAGTTCTCAGTGTTCTAGTAGGACTCTGTCCACAGGGATGTATTATATAAATCTTTTCTTAGGCAGCCTGTGTGAGAGTCATGTGTTCTGTTTTTATAAATAACTGCACTTCATTTGCAGTTGTGAGCAGGTTGACACAGTTGACCCAGATTAATTGGTTTCTGGCGCTCACACACTGTTTTCTGCAGCAGTGTGCTCTTCTTACCTCTGGGCATGGCACTTGGAGGCCAGCATTGGACACTACTGTCAATGTGTTTCTCTTTCTGTCTGAATATCTTGACTATGAAAAGCCTTTCAAGGAGCTCCTGTAGGGGTACTCATCTTCTGAGGCCCCCAGAAAGCCTTAGGATAGCAATGGTAGCAATTCCAGTGTTTGGTCTTTATTCTATGACTAAGAACTGTTGTATACATCTCTGTTCCTCAGAGTTATTGCTGATTTAATTCTATTTGTTCTGACTATATTAGTTTTACCCAGTGACATTGACACTAGCAACTGATAATTTAGGTATTCTTTACTTTAAAAGCTAGATACAACCATGAGTGTTATGATATTTCCCAACTTTCAGAACTGACTTTTTTTTTTTTAAAAAAGAAGAACACTTTTTTTTTTTTAATATTTATTTATTTTTATTTATTACATTTATTTATTGTGTGTGTGTGTGGCCAGCTCAGCCCATCAGGGGGCGGGTCTGGCTGGCATGTGGTGCTGGGGATCGAACCGCGGTCCCTGTGCTTTGCCAAGCTTGCTTCAAGTAGGTGCTTTAGACCACTGAGCCATCTCTCCAGCCCCTAGAACTGACTTTTTTGAGGTGGCAACCTAACGCAGTGGTTTCCGTGCCGGGCTCTAGAACTGACTTTTTTTGAAATTTTATGGTTATTGTAATCATATACAATATTGACTGTTGCTGAGCCTGCTTTGAAAGCAGTCATCCATATGAATTGCAAAACTCTCTGTGATTAAAGAAGAAACTGGGAAATGAACTCTTAAAAATGGGTAAATCAGTTTTCTTTAACCAGGAGGCAGTATTAGGGGAAAGAAAGGCCAGTTTGAAATGAGTGCATTCCAGTTTCACCAGGGCGGGAACTAGCAACCAAAAGTAGGCTCAGTTTCTCCCGCAGCAGGATGCTGACTGAGTCTGCCTAGAAGAGACTTTGTCTCTGCAGCAGTCTCTGTACTGCCAGATCTTACTAACGCAGGGGAGAAAGGATGAAATTTCATGACTTACTGTTTGCTGGTCGCAAAAGCAGCTTGTGTCTTTAACAAACTGCCCAGAGATGTTATGAGATTAAGTCTTTTTGGTTGTGTTCATCGCTGTATTCTTAGGTGTGATATAGCTTGTATATACCTGGGTTGTTTGAATTCTGATTTTAATCTCAACTACTTTAAAACAGGCATTTTACTGAGAATATGCATGTTTCAATGAAGAAGGGAGGAAACAGGGAGGGGGCAAGATGCATGTTTGGGTGCATGTTGTAACCTCATTCTAATGTGTCCCGTGACTAACTAAAGCATCTCGCTCAGTGCCATTTTGGATTTCCCTCAGGTACTGTCTGTGGTCCTGAGAGCAGGCCTGCTCCACGAATAGCAGCATAGAAGGGGTTTGTAAGCATCTTGCTCCATTGAACTTGCTGTTTACTAATGACCTGTGCTTTTCTGCCCTTTCCTTCCCCTTCCCCTCCTCCTTCTACCCTTTCTGTTTTTCTCCTCGCAGAAGCCTAGTGTGTATCTCAACACTGGGGCTGCGGAAACACCAGACCAGTGATTTTTCTAAGCACCGTTACACTCCTAAAACCTTCAGCATTTTGCAGCTTTGCTTTTCCTTCTGGGACACGATGTAGAAGAAGCTGAGGGTAGTTCTTCGGGGCCTCTTTCTGCTGATGCCTGGGCAAACCACCTCCTCCTCCCTGTGCTCTGCAGGGCTTGATGGAACCTCCTTTTCCTTTGTGAGCACAATGTGCAAGAGGAATTCTTTTTAATTTTAGTATTTTATAAAGATCATCTAATGTGTTTTATTTCCTATTCTTTTTATCATTTCATCCAGTGTCACATTTTTTTTCTTTTCTTTAAACATTTTTAGTTGAATTTTTTTCATTTGCTTTTGAGTGTTCAACATGAATTAGGATATTGTAAGCCAAACGAGAACATGTGCTTTCGTAAAGGAGCTGAGGTCACCAGTACTGCAGTGAATTTCCCCTCCCATCCCCTTCTTTCCCTCTGTGAGCTTGCTTTTTAGTGAGGTTTAATCTTTCAGCCTACTGCTTCACCTTATGAAAATCTGGATAATGATACCTATTTTAAGATTTTTAGTTTAGAGTAGATCTGATTAAAGTTTGAAAAGTATTTCTCCAAGTTAAGTTCTTTTTTGTTATTTGTAAGTTGGGCCAAAGTTATCTTTATCATGAAATTTTATGTTTATCTAGAGCTATAGTCTTCTGAAAAATTAACTATCCTATTATTGTGTGTTTAATTTTATAATCAGAGTTAGCCTTTTGAGCATGATCAGTCAGCTGTCAAAATAAAAGCTGAGGTTAAAAAGATGGAGCTAAGTCTTACTGTCCTTGAATCCTGTGTTGTTAGAATACCAGGATGTTGGTAAGATAAAAAGTAACTTCTGTAACAACTCCAGAGTAAATATAAACTACAACATATTTAAAAATACAACTGAGCAGGTTTCTTTCTTTTTTCTTTCTTTCTTTTTTTTTTTTTTTTTTTTTTTGGCAGAACTGGGGATTGAACTCAGGCCCTTGCCAGGGAAGCACTTATTCTATTGAGCCATCTCCCCGGCCCCTTGAGCAGGTTTCTAATGGGATTATTTTTTCCCTGAAATGGGGATCAAACCTAGGGTCTTGGACAAACTGAACAAGTACTCTGCCACTAAACTATATATCCTTGGCTCCCCTTGTTTTGGTTTGCTGTGGCTGAGATAGGCTCTGGCTGAGTTGCTCAGACTGGCTTTGAACTCCTGGGCTTAAGCAGTCCTCCTGCCTCAGCATTCCTAAACAGCTGATTACAGACACACACACCACCACACCTAGTTGCTGATGGTATTCTGTGATTTGACGCAAGGTCTATTCAGCATTAATATCTCTTTGAGCTCTACAAATAACTTTTTATGCTTCATTCCAGTGCAATTGGTGGATTACACACAGGACCTGGGTGTAAAATCATTTATTATGAGTATTAACATTTACATTCATACATTCTAAAGATTATCTCAATGGTACTTTCTCATTTTTGTTCTAAAACAGTAGGTTGAAAAAAATCTATAATCATTTAGGATAAGTGCTGTGCATCTTTACAGTAGTAAGCTTTGAATGAAGTTTTAGAAATAGAATATAAATGATGGATATGTTTTGAAATACTAGAGGACAATTCCAGTTTCAAATCTGGAATTTAAAATGTTATCAAATTTCTATCCCTTTATTATGTATTTTTTAAAATTTCTAAGATACTGATCATTTCAGATTAAATGAAACAATTGGCACCACATTCAGAGGAAGGTACAGTGTATGTACTTTCAGATTTTCTAATATAAAACTACTTTGGAGACATGAAATTGGGGTCATGACAGTATAAGCAGTCCTTGCAGGGAATTCTGCCATTCAGAAAGCACCTACTCTTCAGTGGGGATCAAGCCACAAGGGTTGGTGTCTGTCCCGCTGCATGTGTTTGAGGCACCACATTTGAGACGGAAAAAATCTGAGTTAAGTCAGTTGCTGAAACAAAACTCTTATCACAAGAAAGTATAGCATCAAATCAGACACAACTCTTTCCATCTTTGGTATGCAGTAATTAAAAGGTTGTTTTTGTGCAGAAGACTTCAAAGTTGGCAGTAGTGCGTTTTAAAAATCATATTTGAGGGGCCAGGGATATAGCTCAGTGGTGTAAGTGTCTGCCTGACAAGGGCAAACTCCTTTATTGTGCTCGCCCTTGCCAGAAAAAAAAATCGCGTTTCCTAAAAATCATGTTTGACGTCTTTCTGCTGCTTCTCACCAGTCTCTGAGCTTGTTCAACGACAAGTGGGTAGAGCAGGCTGAGTGCAGGTCTCTTGCACATACTCATGCTTCATGGCTGACCTTGATTTATTCCACTTTTATTTTCATTGGATTATGTTTGTTTTGTTTGAGAATTTAAAGAATGTATTTTCTTTTTGAATATATGAATTGTTGGATTTTTCTGCTGACAGCTAGTTAAAATTGGTCTATTTTATTACCTCCTTCTGTTTCCCTTGGATGTTTAACTTTGAAAGAAAGAATGTAATGTTTTGCATACATTTGTGTGAAAGTACATATGTTCATATGGGGTAGCCAGTCCCGTAAAACATGCTTATTATTGTAATGCTTGGACACCAGCGTCCTGGTATCCCACTGGTGAGGCAGACTGCTGAGGGTGACTCTGTGAAATGTGATATTTTTCATATTCATT